AGTGCATCCCCCTTTGGGAGCTGTCCTAGGACCTTAAATCACCCTGGGAATAGTCTCTCTGTGGCTGCACCACAGAGATGAACAGAGAAATGGGGCCTCATTTGGGAAGCTCAGAAACACTTAATTCTGCCTTATTAATAAGCCTCGCCGCTACATCCCAAAGAGCTGCCATCTAGGGAATGGTTGGAATGGTTATGTAAAGCTAACAAATATTAAGGTTATGTGGTTGTTTATATTGTAAAATCCTTATATTAAATGAACATAAGTGAATATTACATTTGTGGATATTTAATAAATCTGTAGACAATTAAAACTGATACATCTATTTCTACCTGACCTAGATTTCCACTTGTAATTCTAGGATTTTGAAGACACTTCACAGACAGTGACTGAAACTTGCTCTAATGCTCCTTAAGGGAGCATAAGGGATACTGATTCTGACCCAACATTTTATTGAGGCTCTTATCACATAAGTCATATGAACAAGTTAATGTTAATTCCATGCTGAAAAGTATAAGAAACACAACATTTCAGGTGTTGGGTCTTCTTCAGGTGTGAGAAAAAGAATACTGTAGTGAGAATGAAGTGTCTTTCTTTACCGGGATATTAGGATTAATATTAAATCCTATACTGAAAGATCAGTATGTAATGGCCATGATTGGCTAAATCAGAAACTTTTGGTTTGGAGACAACCAACTTTCTTTTTGTCCCGACAAAGTAAATGGTAAAGCATTTTCTGCAAGTGATGTAAATCAGATTACCTGATATACCAGATAGTCCCTGGGTAATTTTAAAATGGCCATGTACAGATGCAGCCATTCAAAACAAGCAGGCAATACCGCATTATTTTGCAGTGCGCTTGACGTGGTATACTGCAAATTACGGTATTAATACCGTATATTCTCGCATAGAACCGCATGATAATACAGGTAAAATAATAGTATCCGGAATTTCCGCAAGTTGGAGCTAATAAAGCTCAACCTCTCACGTTTGAGCTGTCGCCATCAAAGTCTTTACCAAAGATATTACTGATAGTATTTATAATCAAAGACGTTGGACAAGCTGTAAACTCAAAGTATTGCCCTGGTCCACATTCTTTTTTTCATTGAAAGTCTTTGTAAAAGTTGATCCAATCACGCATTTGTTTCCAATCATACAAAGTACAGTAATTTTTGAGAATCTCCGAATCACCATGCCTTTCACATGCTCATAAAAGATATTGATTTAGGAACATAAACATATTACTGTATGCAAAACTGTACTTTATACAGTATGTATATGTATATTTAATGTCTTAACTGTGCCCGTTTAAGTATTGAATATTTATATGGAATTTTACCACTGAAGGGAAAAGTAGCTGAGCATAAAAAGAATAGGAGCATAACGCATGTGAAGGCCATAAACGATATTGATTTTGTTACATAAACATACAGTATTACAGTAACTAACGTGAAATAACGTGTATAAAAAGAGGTAATTCTAAGCTTTTCTGTGAATACGCTTGATACCGGAGTCAACAAGCATACTTTTAGAATTTGATTAATAGGGAATATAATATGGAATCGCGTATCTAAAGAAATTAATAACTATATAATTATATGCATGTACTGCAACACAAGAATAGTATATGCTGTACAATGTCTGTTGATACTGTTTGTGTAGGGCTGTTTCACCACTCCTCATTTGACCTTGTGTGTGGTCCTGTGGTCTAGGTACCCGACTACTAAACCACACGTTGTATGTTCAAATCCAGCCGGTGCCGTGACTTTTATTTTAACAAACATTTCTTTGAAAAAATAGAATAGCAATATTATAGATAATTAATTGACAATAAATATAGAAAAGCACATATTAAATTTGGGAAATTTGGTTTCTGCCAAAGCCAATGAAACCTATAACTTGATTCTTACGGTCACCCGGCCCCGCCAGGGATTTTAAAAAAAACATGCAATCGCGTATGTAAAGAAATAACAGTATAACTATGTTCATGCACAAACAGTAGCATGTTACATTATTAGTTTGGGTGTATCCTCTGGCCAGAAAGCTCTAAATTGCATTTTGAGTGCGGTTTTTGACTTTTTTTAAATTACAACCAATAAATAAAGCTGATACTGTTTAGACTTTTAATTATTTTAAACCGTATTACAGCAGCACAATGCACAATGCAACGTAAATCGCTACCTTTGTCTTCTGCGTGATAATGTTCAGAAATAAGAAATTAGATTGCTCATAAATCTAATCACTTGTTCTAAGTTAACACAGCATAATTGCTCTCTGAAAATGCTCTTTTTCTTGTTCGTTTTGGAGACCTTGATCGAAACTGATTTGAGATGTCAGAATGGATTTATGTTCTGTGTATTTCTGTGTGCGCATTTCCTACATTGCTTCGTTTGTCGAGATTTTAACTTTATATTTAGGCTCAGGATTTCAACTATAAATTGTACACTAATTACTAGCAGTAAATACTGATGTTTTGCTCCCTCTTACCATAAAAATATATATGTATTGTAGCTGGAATGAACTTTTTTTCGTACGTGTCTCTACCTACTGCAACTCGAACAGGCACCCAGAGGTGCCTCCATAACTAAAATGCCAAATAGGAGTGGCGAAGCACAGTTTTCATCACTCTCTGCGGGAGTG